GGGCTGACGGGCAGGCTGGCCTGGCTCTCCGATTTCGTCAAGCCAGACGCCGACTTCTCCGTTCCGAGAACCTCGATGCTCTCGCCGCTGCTGATGCTGCCTTTAATATCTGCATCCAGATAGTCCAGGTTCTCCTGCGGTTCGAACGTCACTGGCTCAGTCATTTTGGGTTCCTGGGAGTCTTGGATTTCCTGCTCCATCTTGATGGGCACGCACTCCACACTGGACTTGTAGGATCCCAGGCTGATGACCACTTTAGGAGCAGAGGACTCTTCCAGACACTTCCCCTCGACGGTGTCTTGACCGAGCTGCCCCCGGCAGCCTCTGTACTGTTTTTCAGGTGTTTTTTCATCCAGAAAAGAGAGATCCTCAAAGAGGAAGTTCGTAATGCTCTGCTGCTTCAGGAGCGCCCGACTGATCTGGTCTGTCAGGAGGTAGCACACGTCACCTCTGAACGTCCTCTCGATCTGGTGCAACTGGTCAAGGGTTTGGGTGAAGAAATAAACATCACAGAGCTCCTCCAGCGTCTTCAGCTTCTTGTCAAAGCATTTGGCGGACTTGGCTTTGATGAGCTTGGGGGTGTAGGACGGCATGTGGGCGTAAAGGTGCGTTTCGCCGGGCTCGGCAAGGTCGGAGGTAGTCAGGTCCGGATCGCGGCCCGTGCCGGCCGGGTCCAGCACACAGTCTGGCTCGTAAGGGTGGAAGTCGGACTCCTTCAGCTTCCTGTAGGGATACGACCTGATCTGTTTCAGCAGATCTTGGTGCTCGATGATAGACTTCTCCACGCTGGCCAGCTCGTTGGCCTTCTCGATGGCTTGTGTTGTGTAATACCCTTTGTCGTTGGCTTTCTTCTGTATCTCCGTTTCGTTGTGCAGGACGGTCCTGGTGTAGTCGAGATCTTTCAGCTTCTTTTCCAGTTCGTTAGCAAAAGCTTTCCTGTTCCCTGTTTTCAGGCACTCGGAAGCTTTGGAGAACTCTGCAGAGAGTTCCTGGAACTGCTGCATGATTTTGTGCTCGTCAGCAGAAATGTAGGCCATGCAGAAGGGCCTCACGAAGCCCCTGGCTTCCAGATCGTAGAGAGTCAGGTGGTGGACGTAGGCGAAAGCCCCCTCCTTTGAGTCCCCCAGCACCACCTTGGAATCCTCCACGAAGTTCAGCTTCGGGTAGGCAGAGCCGGGAGGGTGCCCCACGAAGGACGCCTGGTAATCCACAGACATGATCCGCAGGGAAAAATAGTTGAGATCGAAGGTGCCCGACACCTTGGCGTCATTGGGGATGGTCAGCAGGGGCTGCGGCCCCACCTGCTCCGAGAACTCGGAGATGAGG